GGAAAGAGTTCATAATGTCGCCCCCCCTCTAATCCATGGCTTGGCCTTTTTCTGCCCAAATGAGCCTGTGACACACTTGATGAAGGCTCATCTGACCTGGAACATGTTGGCCTCAAATGTGAAGTTAATTTCAGTTGTTTCAGACCATCCTTGATTTAATTCATATAACATTTATTCTGAGGAGAGTCTATCTGATGTGGAGGTTTCAAGTTTATTTAGGTAAATGGTTTGGGTAGCGTGACAGTAGGTGTTCCTGTTCTTTACCTGTCAGGATAAGTGATAAATTGTAGAAGGATACAGATGAAAAAGGGCCAAAATCCTCCATGTTGCAACCTGAACACAGTTTTCTCTGGTATCTTATTTTTCTTTCTGTCAGTATAGTAACTTTTACAGACTTGGATCTGCCTTCCTGTTCTCAGTTGATAACAGACTAATGTAAAAACTAGTAGTATAATCAGCAAGCTGACTGCAAACACCTTTCTCTTTTTTCTCTTTTCTCACTTCCTGTCTTCTTTTCTTTTTCTTGCTCCCCTTCCTCCTCCTGTCAGGTGCTTTGGCTGGCCTGATTGACATCGCTGCTGACTGGATGAATGACCTTAAGGAGGGCATTTGTCTGAGCGCATTGTGGTTCAACCATGAGCAGTGCTGCTGGACATCCAATGAGACCACCTTCGCTGAGCGGGACAAATGTCCTCAGTGGAAGAGCTGGGCTGAGCTAATACTGGGGCAGGCTGAGGTATACTAACACAGGCACTAGAGGAACGTCAGTTGTTTTAATTTAGGGACCACAAAGTTTAAATTAGTTACTTTACCAGTCACCTGAACAAAGCAGGTTCTACGGTGACATTTACAGAGGTGAGAAGGCAGACTGCTCAATCCAGCATAAAAACATGGGTGATTAAAAGTTAAAAACAGTTAAATTTACTCCCATACTACACACAGCACACATATGCCCACTTGCAGCTGTGCTCTCAGATGTTCACACAAAATATTTAGCCCCTTTTCCACCGCCTGGTGCCGGCTCAACTTGACTATTTGTGTTTCCATCAGTCAAATCAAATCAAATTTTATTTGTATAGCGCCAAATCACAACAAACAAATCCCCCTTGAGCAAGCACTTGGCGACAGTGGGGAGGAAAAACTCCCTTTAATGGAAGAAACCTCCGACAGACCCCGGCTCTTGGTGGGCGGCCTTCTGCCTTGACCGGTTGGCGTGAGTGGATAGAGGAGAGACAAAAGAAGAAAAGCAACAAGACGCAACAAACAATGAAACACTGGTCAGGTTGATGTAGCTGGTGACTGCTCATTAGAAACATAGAGCTCCAGAGCCAGAAAGATACAGAGAGAGAGAGAGAGAGAGAGAGGACACACTACGGGAGAGAGGAGACACAAAGTTAGTGATGTGTAATGGTGGCATATAGAAGCATAGGGAGAGAGCAGAGGGGAGGAGAGGAGAGAAACTCAGAGCATCATGGGGCCCCCCAGGAGCCTAGGCCTATAGCAGCATAACTAAGGGAAGGCTCAGGGTCACCTGATCCAGCCCTAACTAGGGTGTCCGCCTCCCGAACTGAGACTGGGAGTTGGTTCCATAGGAGAGGAGCTTGATAACTAAAGGCTCTGCCTCCCATTCTGCTTCTGTGGACTCTAGGAACCACAAGTAAACCTGCACTCTGAGAGCGAAGTGCTCTGTTAGGATGATAAGGCTCTACGAGGTCTTTAAGATACGATGGAGCCTTGTCATTAAGGGCTTTGTATGTTAGGAGAAGGATTTTAAATTCTATTCGGAATTTTACAGGGAGCCAGTGGAGAGAAGCTAATATGGGAGAGATATGATCTCTCTTGCTAGTTCCTGTCAGTACTCTGGCTGCAGCATTTTGGATTAACGGGAGGCTTTTTAGGGAATTATTGGGACATCCTGATAGTAAAGAGTTACAGTAGCCCAGCCTGTCATCTTCACTCCTGTCCCCATTGGAACATTCACTTTCAGTCCTCAATCAGTCTCCAATCAGTCAGATGTTGGGGATAGTACCTGGTACTCGGCTACACTGAGAGGGGACCATCTGCAGTGGAGAACCAAGCACTTGATACCAAAATCGAGTGAAGTAGAGTCAAGTTGAGTTGAGCCAGTACTAGGTGATGGATGGAAAAGCGCCTTTTGTGTCATTTTGTCATTTTTGCTGATTCTTTAGCTGCTGCTGTTCTCTTCTTCCTTGCCTCTCTGCAGGGTCCTGGCTCATACATCATGAACTACTTCATGTATATCTACTGGGCTCTTTCCTTTGCCTTCCTGGCTGTTTGTCTGGTAAAGGTTTTTGCACCCTACGCATGTGGCTCCGGGATCCCCGAGGTGAGGAAAATCATGCTCATACAGAACAGTAGAAACATTTTCCCTTTTGTGGGAAACTTCAGCAACTATAACATGAGAGATCTCAAACCACAAGTCATTTTTCCTTAAGGGAATTTTGTTGGGAAGTTATTTGATCATTTATTTGGTAAAAGGTCACAGCTATACATCTTTGTTCAATCTCTCTTAGCTCAAAACTACTTTTTGCCACTGAACATATAATTTTAATCAACTAATTTTGACGGTTTTTGTCTCCATCTTTGTTATGTCTCTCTTTGTCTCATGACTGATCAATTTGCTCAGGTGTCAGAAACTAAAGCCGTTTTTACACATGAACTACAGAAAAATGATGGCGGAATCAGGCGCAGAGCAGCAGACGGTCTGTGTCAGAAGCATTCTCACCAACTGGAAATATGCCGCTTGCTTTGTGCAAGGGGGGAGCGCCTGGGTAGAGCACGCAGGAGGCAGGGCATGATGTGGTCATACACAACTGAATCTTTTGCCGTTCCTTAAATTTATCTGATGGTTCTGGCGTTGGGTCTTAACAACAGAAGTTCTTGAATCTCATCGTGTTTCCAGTTAGATATTTTTGTTGGCATCTACTATCTATTGTAAAAGACTTTTTCTTGTCCATCGGTTGTTTGTATTCGTTCAGTTTCATGGCAGTCGTATGATAGAAGTCATCAACACGTCCACTAGCTGGCTGTGAATACTCTGGACTATAAACTGCTGTATTCTCGCCTGGGCTCGCTCCAGCTCACTCCGAGGTTACACAAACTTTGTACTAGGGTAAAGTCCGCTTAATGTCCAGATTGACTGACTCGGACATTTGTGTTCTCACATACAGCTCCACTGTTGATGTCTAGATAATTTCAGGGTGCCGGTGCATGCCTGAGAAGGGCTTAAGAGTATTGCATGACTTTGAAAGTCTATAACGCTCTGTAGGTGGCGCTAACTCTCCACGAAAGTGATTTAGTCTATTATGTCCATTTTCAGGTCTCCACATAGTGTACTCTCTTACTCATGGGTTTCCCTTTAATGTTCTGAAGTGCCTGAAAACTGGTAATTCATTGGGCAGAAGGGAGAGACCATGCTGTGAAAAAGCCATTTTGAGGTGATCGGTCTGAGTGAATTTTTCCATGTTGTTGCCATGGGAACAAGAAAGCCGCAGTTGCACTGGAAAGGATAAGAGTGTGGTATTCAGTGGCTTTGAGCATGTTGACAATAACCGAAGAGTAAGAAGATGCAGCTAATGCAAAACCTGAGACTATTGTATTAAGAGACTGTTAAGCACAATAAATCAAGTCACTTGTCTCATGAATGTAATTGGTTAGAGAAGTCAGTCGGAAGCTGGAAGACACCATGTTAGATGAAGGTGGACTGAGGAAACACAAAGGGAATTGTTATCTTCCAGCTTCTGAATGACTGACCAGACCTTATACACGTAATCAGCAGTGGGTAGGGCAGGGATAGTTGGAAAACGAGCAGGGCAGCAGCCCTCTGGGACCGGGATTGGCCGCCCTTGACTTAAGGCAATAATATTTGGTGGAGTCCCAGTATCCTTGTGGTTTGACTTCAGTGTAATCGCTGCCTTCATCTTCCTCCCTACCCTGAACATAAAGCTGATTCTGAACCCTCCACATCTCTCCCCAGATCAAGACCATCCTGAGTGGGTTTATCATCCGTGGCTACCTGGGCAAATGGACCCTGATGATCAAAACTATCACTCTGGTGCTGGCTGTGGCGTCTGGCCTCAGCCTGGGGAAGGAGGGTCCCCTGGTTCATGTGGCCTGCTGCTGTGGGAACATCTTCTCCTATCTCTTCCCCAAGTACAGCAAGAACGAGGCCAAGAAACGAGAGGTGAGAGAGAAGAGGTGACGTTTACTGTTACAGCAATGGAAAATGCCCCTTTGCTGCCTAAGCCACTGGAGAATTGTCTGACATTCTGTACTGTATAATACATCAGTTGGAATTCTATTATTATAATATACAAATGTTTGAGTAAATATAGTTGTTTTGACCATATTTAAGAAGACAATGTCAGCTGAGATGTTTTTTCTTGTCCTGTCAGGTTCTCTCTGCTGCTTCAGCGGCTGGGGTGTCTGTTGCTTTTGGAGCTCCGATAGGAGGAGTTCTCTTCAGCTTGGAGGAGGTACAGCACATGATGCTCATGCTCTATGATCACAGCATAATGCTTACTGAAGCTTGCAGGATAAAGGGTTAAACTTTTCAACCACAGCTAGTTTGGAAACTGTCTTCTCTCTCCTGCAGGTGAGCTACTACTTCCCTCTCAAGACATTGTGGCGCTCCTTCTTCGCCGCCCTGGTGGCGGCCTTCGTCCTGCGCTCCATTAACCCCTTTGGTAACAGCCGCCTGGTGCTCTTCTATGTGGAGTACCACACGCCTTGGTACCTGTTTGAACTCATCCCTTTCATCCTTCTGGGAGTTTTCGGGGGCCTCTGGGGCGCCTTCTTCATCCGAGCCAACATCGCTTGGTGCCGGCGGCGCAAGTCGACACGCTTTGGCAAGTATCTTGAGTTCACAATTCAGGATTTAAATTGGGATGTTTTAGCCAGCCGAGGTGTGTGAAGGTGGCGGTATTTGTTGTAATTGATGGGGCTGTCTGGAAGATCACTGCCAGCCCTTCGTACTAACAGAAAGAAACCAAATGCGAGCAGATGTCGGAATAAAAGCCATTTGCTCCCTAATCAGGCTGTGAGAAGGGGCGTAGACAACCTACTTTTGACATACCATGTACATCTTGAAATACTAGTTGAGTAACGGTTTATCTTATCTAATATGTACTTGATATAATTGTTAAAAATAGGCTGCACACTGCGGCTGTGTTTTGAGAACAAGCAGAGATTACAGTATATGAATATGTTCACAGTGCAGGGGAAAAGGAACCATCTGTTATACTTGTAGTCCATACTACACTATCTTTTTCTCTTTGTTTTAGCTCTCTGTCCTCAACCAGGTTGTTTTTATGACTCAGAATCTCTGCAAAACATTCTCCAGAAGGGATAAACCTGAAAACATGACACTAAATTTAATAAAGCAGCTGTGCTGTAATTGATATAGCACTGCAGCATGATCAGCAGTGTATGTCTGCAATGAATCTCAGTGAAGCCAAAAACACATATTGTATTTTTGTCTTATAAATTCTATTTTTTGCACTTTAGTACATGAAAACAATAACAACAAAAACATGTTTCCTCAAAACGCACGCAATCAAAGTATGTTCAGAGTCAAACTTCCAGCACTTCAGTCGCACTCAGATGTCAGCTTTTTCAGGCTCATGTTGTGTCACTGCTGTGAGATTTTCTGTCTAACTCAGTAGCTCCTGTTTTTGCCTCTCACAATGTGACTTGTTTTGTTCTCTCCCTTCAGGCAAGTACCCAGTGTTGGAGGTGATCCTGGTGGCAACCATCACAGCGGTGGTTGCTTTCCCAAACCCATACACGCGTCAGAACACTAGTGAGCTGATAAAGGAGTTGTTCACTGACTGTGGCCCGCTGGAGTCCTCACAGCTCTGCCAGTACCGCAGCCAAATGAACGGCAGTAAAGCCTTCACCGACAACCCCAATCGGCCGGCGGGGCCCGGCGTCTACGCCGCCATGTGGCAGCTCTGCCTGGCGCTCATATTTAAAATCATCATGACCATATTCACCTTTGGACTCAAGGTGATCCCTCCTCCTTTTTTTAACAGGGCAGATGTTTTACCCTGTGTGTCTTTATCAGCACTGAAGCCAGCTGTGGTTTCTCATCTCCAGGTACCATCAGGCTTGTTCATCCCCAGCATGGCCATCGGGGCAATCGCAGGGCGAATCGTTGGCATTGCTGTGGAGCAGCTGGCCTATTACCACCACGACTGGTTCCTCTTCAAGGAGTGGTGTGAGGTGGGAGCAGATTGCATCACTCCAGGGCTCTACGCCATGGTGGGGGCTGCGGCTTGTCTGGGTGAGTCAGCAGAAAACAGCAGTAACTGTAGTGTACTGTTTAGTTGTTTGGCACTGTTGCAACTTTATTTTAATGCTTTTGTTTTTCACTGCCACCATTTCAAATGGGGCTTGGGGATATAATTATGTACAGAAGTAGACCGCTGAAATAGCTGCAAGAGTTTCTGAAATACTGTTTATACTAGTACCTATGTTGCACATCTGTAAACTGAACAGGTTGGTTTTTGTTTTCATTTAAAATAGAAGTCAAAATTAAAATTTTACTATTAAACAAATTATTTAAAATAACTTTTTACATTTATTTGGTATTCAGAATAGAATGATTAAGTGATTGAGTTCACAAGATTGAATGACTTATCACAATCAATCACAGTAAAGTGGGCAATTAATTAGTCGATTTTTTTTAATCGATTCACAGCCCTAATGCTAAAACTGCACGTTACTGTCCTCCCTCTGTAGGTGGTGTGACCCGTATGACGGTCTCCCTGGTTGTCATTGTCTTTGAGCTGACAGGCGGGTTAGAGTACATCGTCCCCCTCATGGCTGCCGTCATGACCAGCAAATGGGTGGGTGACGCGTTTGGCCGCAAGGGAATCTATGAGGCCCACATCCGTCTGAACGGATACCCCTTCCTGGACGCCAAGGAGGAATTCACACACACCACGCTGGCCAGGGATGTGATGAGGCCGCGACGCAACGACCCGCCTTTGGCGGTGCTAACACAGGATGACCTGACACTGGAGGAGCTGCAGGGAGTCATCAGTGAAACCAGCTACAATGGTTTTCCTGTGATAGTGTCCAAGGAGTCCCAGAGGCTGGTGGGCTTCGCTCTGCGGAGGGACATCACTATCGCTATAGGTAATAGTGCAGACCAACACAGTGTGATAAAACTGTTCCTCCCACATTTTAGTGCAGTGTGAGAGCAATAAGGGAACACAAGAATAATAGATGCATTTAAGGTTTGCACAAAAAAATTGCATGATGAATCACCAAAAATGTATCAAATGGAGACATAAGGTATTACATATTCAAGTGTCCTTAAGGAGACACAAACCCCAAACTGCTATTTTTCCCCTATATTTCTCCAACTCCTTTTATGTTGTGTGTGTGTGTGTGTGTGTGTGTGTGTGTGTGTGTGTGTGTGTGTGTGTCCCACACAGGGAGGGCATCATGTTGAACTCCAGGGTGTACTTCACCCAGCATGCACCCACCCTTCCGGCCGACAGCCCTCGGCCCCTCAAGCTGCGCTCCATCCTTGACATGAGCCCCTTCACTGTAACCGACCACACCCCCATGGAGATAGTGGTGGACATCTTCAGAAAGCTGGGGCTGCGTCAGTGCCTGGTCACTCACAACGGGTAAGTGGGGAATAAAACGAGACGGGCTGGAAGAAGAGAAGGTGTCCTACTTCTCTCTGCCCCTCCTTCTGCTCTTGTCACTGACTAACCCATCTGAGGTTGACAAACATCGTACAAACATGTACACGCTGTCTGGTGTTGCATGGGCTCTCAGGTTTCTGGGTCTACCCTGTAATCTGCATGACCTGCCCTAACAGCTATGCTGCACTTCCTTTACCCTCCTACTCAGCAATAACAGACAGTCTCCTCATTAGAAGAGACTGAGCTGCTGAAAGTAACTACAACTACATAACAGGTATCGTGCTGTGAGAAGCTAGCCAGTCAGGAAAACCGTTTGATTTGTGCTGTGAGACTCAAAGATCTGTATGTTTAAAGGCATTGCCCCATAGGGATAGTTGTTCAGATGATGACCAGTTAATTCATTACAACGCCAGGCTTGGTTCTGTCTTCGGTTAGTGGAACTGGATGGTCTTGGTCCACATGGTCAGGTGGTCCAGTCTAATGATTTGCAGTCTGGTTTTGCAGCAGGCCACCTGCTGGTGGAATGTAGGAATTACAAGAGAGCTCAGTTTTAATGGTTTGCTGTGACAGAGAAGGGCTATGCAGCAGTATTTGTTTTTATTTACATCTTAACTGACTGGCATTATTCTATATTTTCCTACTGTCAATAAATCCCATTAGTCCGATTACTTCACGATATATATAATCTCATTTTTTAAAGCAGCTGGACACTAGTTTTTATTAAATGTTACTCTGACATTGCATTTGTTGGGGACTGTTTTCAGTTGCACATTAATACAAATTTTGGCGCTTTTGTGAATATGACATCAGAACAGTGTATGTGGAATTGTACTTAAATAAACTACAGTGTCTGTACTTGTTAAAATTAAGTTCCATGTTGCTGACAGTTTGCTTCATTAAAGTTGTGTGGCACAGAAGAAGAAATGATCAGGACACACAGCCAAAGATCACTTAAGCATTGATTTTGATCTTCTCATTGGATTTGTTGACATTAAGAAAAGTCGAATATCACCAGCCTTGTAATTTAACATGATCCAGCATTTGTTTACATTTGATATGATTTACATTTTTGCTTACATAAAATCAATTATAGTTTAATTTATTATGAGTTACTGCCCACCGTAACAAACTCGAAATTAATTTAATTCACGTTAATTTATTATGTTTTATTGCTTTTTTGTAATTGAGTTGTGTAATTTTGTGATCATTTTTATGTTAACACCGAGTTACCTTTTAAATATTTTAAGGTACAGTGAGGAACAGAAGTATTTGAACACCCTGCGATTTTGCAAGTTCTCCCACTTAGAAATCATGGAGGGGTCTGAAATTCACATTGTAAGTACATTCCCACTCTGAGAGACAGAATTAAAAAAAATCAGGAAATCACATTGTATGATTTTTAAAGAATTTATTTGTCTTGCACTGCTGAACATAAGTATTTGAACACCTGAGAAAATCAGTGTTAATATTTGGTACAGAAACCTTTGTTTGCAATTACAGAGGTCAAACGTTTCCTGTAGTTCTTGACCAGGTTTGCACACACTGCAACAGGGATTTTGGCCCACTCCTCCACACAGATCTCCTCTAGATCTGTCAGGTTTCGGGGCTGTCGCTGAGCAACGCGGAGTTGAAGCTCCCTCCAAAGATGTTGTATTGGATTGAGGTCTGGAGACTGGCTAGGCCACTCCAGAACCTTGATATGCTTCTTACGGAGCCACTCCTTGGTTATCCTGGCTGTGTGC